AGCAGAGCCATGTCCACAAACCAATTCAGCTTTTAAGTTGTCCTGACTAGGAGGAGAGAAGGTTATCACTGTCAGGCTTTGAGTTACTTGGATGTCAGAAAAATTTAGTTGTGGCTCAAGTTGCTGTCAAGTTTGTTGGTGATGAAGCCAAGATTACATGTTGCAGGGGACTGGAGAGAGGAGAGTTTGGGTTTTTTTCTGTTCTCTTAGTGGGGAATGTACTTTTTCTTTTTCCAGTGGTGTCACTGATTTGTCTTTGGCAATATTAAATTTTCTTAGGAAAAATGGAGGAAGGGAAGTAATTTCCTAGTTGTCTTTCAGCAGGGACCAGCTACCAGTCCTAAAGCACAGATTGTCCCTCTCCTCTTACACAGACATCTCCCCTGCCCATATTTCTGCAGAAAGGACTCAGTTTGATCATTTCATCTATATGTTGTAGTACTGAGTCAAAGAGATTTTATGCTGGAAGAGTCTTCAAAGCTGCCCCTTTGGAGCTGGAGCAATTTGAGTAACTTGGCAGTGAGCATACATGGTAAGTCTGTAGGCTGAGCTGAAGCGTTACCTTCAGGACTATGTCCACCTTTGCCTTTTCTGTTCTGCTGTGTTCTCTTATTTTCTTTTTTTTCAGTCCAGCCCTGACCTCTTTAGCAGATAGCTTCAGTATCCAGAAGTAGTCCAGAAGTAGTGCCCATGCTCTCCTCAAACTGCACCAAAACATCTCTTGTTTTGTTGGGGCTTTTTAGGAACCTATGAGCAAAATGTCCAGAGAAAGTCTGGAGTCCAAAGAAGTTTTTATCCACATGCCTTTTCAGATGTGTCTGCCTGTGAGCTTAGAAATCTCCATTTTGTCAGGGTCCAATGACCTGCTAGAAACATCTGCACGTTTCCCATTAAGCTACTCTTTTCTCCCAAGCCTCATTCACAGAGGCATTTTTCTCTCTTGCGCTATTACTTCCCAAAAATTACTAGTTAAAGGGCATTTCACAGCATTTTCATCTTTCAAGTGCAGTCCTTTAAAGTAGTGCCAAGAATGATAAACCAATAGATTTCAAACTTCTCCTTCTCAGAATAAACTGACAGAGCTAAAATCTAAAATGAGACTCTTTGGACCCATGGTAAAGGACATCACAATTGCGAAGTCCTGACTACTTCTTGATATTTCCCGCTCTGAATCCCATATACTGATTAAAAAGCTTTATATTTAAAAGCCAATAAATCAAATTAAGAAACAATAGAAGACAGACTTTGGAGCTGGCTGGCAGGATAGAAGAAAGTCACAATGTTTTCTCAAAGTTGCACTATTAATGTAAAAAACTCACATTTGCTTCCCATTGTCATTCCAGAGTGAAATAATTTAAAGTTTCAGACTTTTTTCAGAATTTTCAGGTTCAGAAAAACTCACAGGAAGCACAAACCTCAATTTTCAGCTCATTGGAATAATTATTAAACCGTCTCTGTCGTAAACTGTAAAATTGTAAGGAACCTGTTGGCAGTATAAAAAATATTTCTCTCAGCTGCATTAAGTCTGCATTACTTGCCTTCCCATGCATTGTATTGCCTGCAAGGGCTTTTCTGTGCTAGGGATAAACTTGCTGTATTCCAGCTGGGAATACCTGATTACCTTTGCTTTATATGAAAGGCAACAGTCGCTGCTGGCCTGGCTGCAAAGCTGGAGGGAGCGTTCACAGTGCAATGTGCGGCTTGAACCGAGCAAGAGGCAGTGAGAGAAGTTCTGCATTCAGCCCTTCCTTCCACCCTGTGGTACAGGCCACTTCCACACCACCACTTCAGGCATTTGCTGGCTGTGTTCTCCTGGACACACTTTCTCCTAGGTCTCCTCTGCTATCCATGGGGGTGCTGTGAGGTTGTACAAAAGCAGGTGTATCAGGTGGGACGTGATGTTTCACCTGGGTGAACATTAAGGTGGTACAAGCAACAGCTCTGCTTACTGATTCAAGGGAACATGGAGGCTCAAGAGCCAGTGTTTATTCTGTTTACTGTTTGGTTTTGGCATTTCTCTGGAGTTGCAACAGATCTCTGTCTGTGGTTTAAGAAGATGGGATTGTTTTCTGATTGATCAGTAAAATCTCCATCGTTTGATATGAAGTAGGTTCTTGCTTTGGTAGCCATTTCTGCCTCTCAGCCAGCATTACCCTACATGTTTTCCCTCTCCAGATAGCAGCTGGGTCACCAAGCACCCTGTCTGCAGCCACAGAACTCTGTAGGAGTTTGGGGTCTCTTCTTAATGTGACATGGCTCCAAAGCAGGGGCTGCCCATGTCCACAGAACAAGGGCTGCATTCAGCCTCACCCCTTTTCCCCTACAGACAGAGTAGGAACAGATCAGGTTCTATGGGTGTATCTGCATCTGCATCCCTGATTAACTGTGCTTGGTGGGAGCTATCTAAGTGTGAATTTTCCTTGTGCCTATACCAGCAGCCTTGTGTTATTCATGGAAGTGCACAAGTGATGTTCTCAAAGTGGTCTCCCTCCTGCTGGAGGTAAAGTTGAAGTCACAAGCTGGGAGAGGGCTTTGAGCATCCCACCTGCAACATGATGCCAGGCCCTCCCTCAGTAAGCTCTCTGCACGTGCCCCCTGCATCCCTGGTAGCAGACTTCAATGCTGTGGGACATCACAGATTGCAGGGAGTCAGATTTTGGTCCTGTTTCTTTGTCCCATGCCTGTCATTTTATTATAGCTGTCCCCTGAGGACCTACCTGTGAGCCCTGACCTCACCCTGATGCAGGTGTTGAGCTGCCTGGGCTGTGTGTGCTGCAGGGAGACTTACTTGCCATATTTGCAAAGGAGAAAGTGGCAACAATCTTTGTTTAGTCCTGCAGACAAGTTATTTGGACTGCGCTGCCAAAGGGATAAACAAGGGATTAAGGCAACTTAAGACTGTCTGCTTTACTGAAGGTTACATGTGTGCGGTTTCATATAGTGCTGATGACCATAAGCAGCCTCCACTATCCCAGCAGTGGTCAATTCTCCTGTAGCTTACCTTCCTTTTTGCAGCTGAGATGAGGGTCCTACCTCCAGTCCAACCTGGTTTCAAATAGTGGGGAGCAAACCACAGCTCTTACGTATAAGGCTCTTTAAACAAAGTCCTGCTTTCACCTGATTTTCTGCTTAGGATGCAACAATAAACTCCTGCTGCTTCAGCTTGCCATGCTGCTTCTGTTCAAAGTATAATGGGGAGCCTTCAGAAAAATATAACCTTATTTACACTGTGCAAAGCCAATTGGATTTTGGTTAACTTAATTTCTAAGTGATTACAGTTCACTAACAATGTAGGTATGCTATAGATGCAATGCACAGGGGGTGACTTTTTATTTTAAACCATACAAGCTTTCTTTTATTCATATGATTCAGGCAGCCTCATGATAATTCACATTTCCAGCTTTCATAATGTGTTGTTCAACCAGTATTTTTTCTCCCTCCCTATTGTACTCTCACAAATCATACTCACTAATTTCTGAAAGCTTTTCATTTCTCTCTATAGGTTGTTGTTTCGTAACATTTTATACAAGAAAAGCTGCTCTTGAAGCACAGAATGCACTGCACAATATTAAAACTTTACCTGGGGTGAGTACATTTACTTTTTGATCCTAATTATTCTATCACCAGAAAAATAGCCCTTTCACTCAAGATGCTGCTTGGTGCCCTGGTTGACCTTGATCTCTTCAAGGGAGGGTGGCTAACCTAATTGTCTGTCCTGTGATGGTGCCAGTCCTGTAGCAATGACATAATCTCAAAAGGCAGCTGAGCAGTTGCTCTCCTGTAGAAAGTCCCTTGGCTGGAAACTGTGCTGATTCCTG